AATCCCTGCAATTACACCTGAGTGTTTCCTTTCAAAAGCACCAAACAGCCACATTACTGCATATTCTTTAAAACAGACCACAGTACTCTATCTAGGGGGACACTGTGCTTTACATTCACTGACACCACACTATGTGCTCCAGCCTGCAGTCATCATTTTGCAGTGTTAGCTTTCTGCAGGTCTGTGCAATCACATTATAAAGGTGTTCTCCATCAGACAAGCCACTTGGATAAGCATAAATCTACACAGCAGCAGATTCTTTTGCTCTCAATAAAAAGTACAATAACTGCAATATGCTCCAAACTGTGTGTCCCTTCTCTAAAGTACAATGCAATCATGTTACAAAGCTGTCCGCCACTGTCACGTGGAAAAACATAACTCGACTGTACAGAAACAGATTGAATACTCAGAACTCTTGTATGGCACTGGGGGGGGGGAGGAGAGCTCAGAATCTGTTAGACACATATAATCATAAGGATAATAACCATTACTGGCCAAGTATATTACACACACAGAATTTGTTTCCCGTACAGAACCGAGGCAGCCACCAACTCAACTGATGGCTCTAAGCATTGGGGGCAACTTGGGGATTCAGTGTCTTGCCCATGGACACTTTGACACATGGACTGCAGGCACCGAGATCCGAACCTATAACTCTCCAGTTGGGAGACGACCGTTCTACCCACTGAACCACAGTCGCCTAGCATTCATGTGCAAAAAGCACTGGTGTGAGGAGGTGAGCTGTGTGTAACAAGCTGAACATCTGGCATCAGAAGGAGCCGAGCAGAGCCTGCTGCTATTGGCTATCGTGGTGAGGCTTCAGACCTCCTTCCTATCTCTTCTCTCGTCCTCGTCTTGCCTTCCCCCTACGTCGCAACCTCTGTGACGACTTTCTTTCCCGGGCCTCCATATTGATTTGTTTGACTCTTTCATTCATTGTTTCCGCTGCTGCTGTTTTCTTTGTTCTCTTATCCTGATGTAAATGTATCTATTGACCATAGTTCGAATGGGTTATTTACACTTTTATTCCATCACTGCGGGAAAGCAAGGCAGCACAGCTTTTTTAATTTGCACATTTTAAACACAAGAATGCATTTGTTCCATGTATTTAGTTTGCTCTTCTTCATAAATCACCAACATGGGAGCACAATGACATTGCACCAGAAGCAGATGTGGTTCTAAGAAGCCTAGACAATTTCCACTAAAATACCAACAATGTTTTCTGCTGCCTCATTTGAAAGAACCTCACATGGTTGCACCTTTCCTACCACCTGAGCTCAATGGACTCTGCTCTTGGCATCTAAATATCACACAAATGGATAAAACACATGAAAAAACTGTCAGAGTTGCTTGCACCGGTCGTTACATTGCCATGAAAACTGTGTGCTTGCTCTGTATGGTGTGTAGTACATGTAGACTCTATCAGACTATAACATAGTCAAGTTTATTGATTAACTACTAAATCAAGTAACGGCACTATGTAAAAGACACACATCTGTATTTTTGCTACCTTCTCCTGACAATGATTCAAGTCTCTACTGCAAATATTGTGTTGTCAGATGACGACTGACATTCCCGTCCTTGCCAACACATCTCTGAACTTTTTAACATTAAAATGAAAACATTTTCTTATTAGCTCTGCAGGTTTTTTTTTTCTGTGTCGAGCCAGTGGGTGAGTTATGCACGGCAGCAGCCTGGAGGCAGACGGGTTGCTGCCTGCTAATATAAAACACGGTCTCCTGTGAAGCTGGAAGTGTTGGCCAGCAGAATAAGCTCAAGAGATAATTGAGGTCTTTAGTCTGGAAACTAATAGAGGCTCTCTCAATAGCATTATTCACTCAGAATAATCAGACACAAAAGGATCATATCTGCATTACTGTGGATTAAGGATAAGGATAATCACCTTTATTGGCCAAGTATGTTACACACAAGGAATTTGTTTCTGGTACAGAACTGAGGCAGCCATCTGTGGTGCCACCTCAACCGATGTCTCTAACCATCGGGGGCAACGAGGGGGTTCAGTGTCTTGAAACTGAATCAGCATCTTCTGAATCTGAGTTTTTGTTTTAAGCATCTTCAGAATACATGGCGCGAGTCAGATTTGGGACAGTGGGGCTGTGGATATTTCATCTGCATTGATCCTATGATTACTAAACAATATCCTCTTTCCAGGGACTGTTAGCTCTCTTAATCTGGTAAACTGAAAAAAATGTAGGAAAAAATCAACTGGACTTGGTTTTAGGTAGAAGACGTTTCATCCAAGAGGCTTCATCAGTTCTGTCTGACCGGTGTTGAGCAGAAGGGCTTTATCCCCATCAGTGGTGTTTCAGTCCTTTGGTGGCCAACAGTGTCCCCTAACAACTGACTCGTTATAGTCCAGTATCGGTGAGTGTCGTTTCCTGTCTTTGAACCCTCACATGTGGACCTGTCCTGGTGTGAATTAGGGTAAGAATGTTTGGGCAGAGATCTCAAAACAGGATTGTAGATGGATGACAAGTTGTGTCTTAGTCCACCACCCCTATTTAGTGAGGGGTGTTCTATTTTTACAAAAATAGCTTCCTTGACTCCTCTCTCAAACCAGTGATGTTCTCTGGAGAGGGTCTGGACTTCACTGTCCTCAAAAGAATGTCCTTTGTCCTTCAGGTGGAGGTGGACTGCTGACTCTGGTCCACTGGGGTTGGCCCTCCTGTGTTGGGCCATGCGTTTGTGCAGTGGCTGCTTAGTTTCACCAAGTCCAGTTGATTGTTTCAATATTTTTTCAGCTTACTATTACCTGGATGACTGAGAATCTGCATGGACTCTCAACCTGCACCAACTGAGTCACAGTGCTGCCCCAAACCCTGCCCAGTGTATCATCTCTACTGTTGGCTCCACCACTGACAGTAGCTGTCTGGAAAGTCCTGCAGCACTAGCTGGAGGACAGATCACTGTGTGTACGTATATGTGTATATACTGTATGTGTTTGTAGAGTGTGTGTGGGTGTGTTGGCCCACCTGCATACACATTAGCTACGACTGTGAAAGGGCCCTGCTGTGTTAGCATGTTAAGCTAACAAGCTAAACAAGCTGACAGAGACTCTTCAGCACAGATCCACAACAAAAAATGGAGAGATATGTTTAGAGAGCTGCACTGTGCTGTGTTCTGTTGTACTGTATTATGTTATACTATATGTACTGTGCTGTAATATATTGCACTATACTCTACTGTAGTCTATTTTACTTTTATTCAATACCAGCCTTATATTACGTTACTATATTTAATTTTATACAGTAAATAATAATAATAATTATTATTATTAAATACATCATACAGGATACTGTATGATGTAAATAATACTAGTATATATTATACTTTTAACTGTACTTTACTATATTAAACTGTATATATCACTTTAAATTATACAACAACTAAAACTGCTGTAAGAGCAGTCCAGTTACCATTTAGACAATACTATTTCATCTTACTATTTACTATACACCACATACCATGCTTTGAGTTTGGAAAGGCACCCAAAACATGAAACTTTCATGGGGCCTTTGGCTTGTTTCATTTCTCTCTGCAGAACTCTGTGAGAGCCCTAAAGCAACTTTGGGTAAAATATTTTAACTTAGTAAAGACTCTGCTGAGTCAGGATGTGGTAATGTTAGCTCTTAGCTGTCAGCTACAGGAGCTGATAGGTGAAACATTTCTTTAACAACACTAGACTTTTTACAATACACAAGAGCTAAATGAGCTATAGGGTATCTCCCAGCATCATATTTACTCCTGCTAAAATAAACAAAAACATAATTTTAATTGAAAGACTGGTATAACAGCCGGCAACACTGACAGGCTGGTCATGTGTCAGGTAGATGAAAATATGTCTTGTACTTCAGTCATTCACTTCCTTTTTCTGCCCTTTCTTTTTTCAGCAGTTTAACTCGTCCATGACTCACAGTCAGTGTGTTATTTGGCACCAAGTAGATTAACTTGTCATTAAAAGGACTTGTCCTATGCTGTTACTACTACTGTACATGTACAGGAGTTGCCTGCTGTCATACAGTATGTGTATAACTGCACTCCAATAGACCTGTACATCTGCCATCAGGAAGTGCAAAAGGCTTGTGCAAAGCTGAAGATTAAAGCCATTTTCTGACCGGCAGACCCAGTTTTAGAGGTGGGAAGCAGTAACACACGAGTCAAGTTAAAAAGACCCGTGTGTCTACATTTGCCTTCATGTCTCAGAAAAGGCTTTGTTCTGCCAGAGAGAACTTACAATGTTGCAGTAAGAAAGCAGTCACATCTGAGTCCAGAATAAAAGGCTTAATATCGGCTGTTACGGAAGAACAACTGTTGTCACTGAGCAGTTTTGCCGTTTTGCCACTAATGAAACAATTGTGCATGGCAGGGAGCAAAAAATCCTGTGTCAACACAGTGAATTAAGTAAAGTCTGAAATATTGCTGATGTGTAATAAATACTTTTTTGCTTAATTACTCCCATCACCAGATGTTCCACAGTGATTTCTGCAGAATAAAGTAAATTCTTGTCAAGTGCAATCCTACTTTCACTATTATTGGATGATATTATTAGGAAAATGCACCAATTTGTCCTTAGTGTGGTGGAACCTGCACGGCCACACTGATTTCTAGACATTAAAATTTAAACCATTTGACATAACCTACAACAACAAACCACAAAGGCATTTCCCTAATATCCCTAGTTTTGTCACCATTAGGGAAATGCATCATTAGTGCACGAGTGACCGACAAAACACCAAGCCATGTCAGGGAAGGAAAGAAGAACAAAAAAAGAAAAAGAGAAAAATAAAAGGAAAGTACCTTTCTTGTGAGTAGCTTCATTTTTGGAGCCTTTGGGGTCTAATAAAAAAAACAGATCAGAATTAAACACAGCATATTCTGACAACACGTTACTGACTGCGTTGTTTGTCCTCATTAAGGAAAACAACCGCTTTGTCAACCAAGGAGTGAACAAGACAGCAAGACTCGATTATCTAAGGTGTCGCACTGCTGCCAACACTCAGCAGGGGTGAGTGTATGGCAGAGGGGGAGACTTGGGAGGGGCAGGGAGGGGGCGGGCTACATACTGTGAAAGCAATAGCAGGAAGGAAAGAACAATCCACTGCCGTACTGCAGTGGCCGGGAGAGAAGATGCACTGACATGAAGAGGAGGAGGAAGAGGGTTGCAATGCAGCTCTGTCAAGAGGAGCTGAAATCAGACTAGCAAAATGCACTACAAGCGATGCAAGAGGCCAGAGAGAAAGAGGAGGATGAGTGCGGGAAAAATGCAAAGACTACATGTCAAACTGGCTTCATTTAGCCTTTGAGGAAACTCCACTTTTTATTTCTTTTCTACTGGCCAACAGACTGGTGGCCAGCTGTGTATTCCCAAATAACCTGAATGACTTCCTATTGAAATGAACCAGTAACAAAGTTCCCAAAATGGACTTTGTCTCTGACAATAATTTGGCTTCAGACATGGAGCTGTAATCCCGCAGGAATTGATAAGTGATCTTTTAATCTGAAATGAAATCCTATTTCTCCATTCAAATGAACACCATAAATTTGAAGTTAGATGGCTGAAATGGAGCCCACTGGAATGACAAAAAGATTCTGTGTCCACCCCCTAAAATGTAAGTCTTTAACCTCTTCAAAACAGACCACATAAAGGCACAGAAGGGGAACTTTGCTGCAGAGAGGCTGATTTATAATGGAAGAAACTAACCTGCTAATGTCAAGGAACAGGAATGTAAGGCAGAGAGATTTGTTGTATCACATCGACATGATGTTTTTTCCTGTTCACTCCAGGAAGGTTACTGTCTGGTGTGGCACTGATCATCAGTTGCTTTTTGGAGTAAGTACAAGAAGCAAAGGCCAAAGTTTTACTGTCCAGTGATCAGCACATAAACATCCAGCCCCACCACATTTTAGCCTTCATCCTTTATGGTTGTGAACAACACACTCACATGACCATATACTCCAAGAATGATCCTTATGTAAAGGTCAACCAGTGTGTGACTAATTCTGACCTTAAAACAGATAATGACCACATCGGTGGGCAGACAACAAATGTATTTCTATGAAACAAAATTTAGAAATGTCACCAAGCAGCCTTTGATTTTTTTATCAAACTGGACCATATGATTCTCTCTCAGTTACTTTAAACTATGAATAGAGTCCAAACCAATTCTTCCTACGACATACAAAGGAGTTTTGTTTTTCAAAATTGTTGATGGATTAATCCTATTTTCCCTCTGATTCATACTAAACTGAGCGAACGGGATCCAAGCTGCTTTGCTGTACTTGACAACTGCCATTGTGAGGGATGGTGACTACACCGAGTAGAAGTCTGGGAGTGATATTGTAATCTGTCATTGTCAGCCCAGAAAAAAGGGAACCGGCTTCTAAGATAGATGAAAAGTATTCTTCGTGACCATGAACTGTTGTAGACAGGTGACTTAAACTCTATAATCTGCCTGAATCCTTGAAAGGCAATTTTTCCTGCCTCTTCTGCGCTCGGCAATCTCTCTGTGTCAGTGCTAAGCCCGGGCTTAGCCCCACGGCCAGTCAGCCTGTCGAACATCTGAGCACCTGAGCCTGGCATTAAAATCACAGCCGCTTTGGTTTTTGGGCTTTGCTTTGCTGGCAGTGGAATCTCATAACACCAGGTAATTACTAGTGCTGCGCAGAATCGATTCTCTTGGCTTTGCAGGGGAGGTGTACAGTAAAAGCAACAAAAGCCTTGCATTTATCTTGGTAAACAGTGGTATTTGTTGTCAAATGAGTACAGGGAATTTTCCTAAATGTTTTTTTCCTCTCCTTGGTGTTGTGTTAATCAGATGCCGCCTCTAATCGTCTGCCAGGTAGAGACTGAAAACAGCAACTCGACACATTCTTGACGTCACAGGAGTAAACAACTATGCGTCAACCTCTCCATCTGGTGTTTTACACTGATACAGTAGCTTAATCCTTTTTTCCCTTGAGCTGTTAATTAGAGATGTGATGGGTTTCCACAGGAGGACCGAATGGCCTTTTAGAAAGCAGTATTCCCCTCTTTATAAACTTATTAGCCATGGACCAGTGCACCGCAGAGGGACGAAGACATCCCACATTATCTTGCCTCAAGCCAACGAGATTCCACATTTTTGCTATTTGTAGTTCAAGAAAGAACAATAATAATGTGAGGTATTTATAGCAAACTGTGGGACTGAAGAGATATTGACCTCATTTTTTCTGAAAACATGGCTAATTTGACTGCATGAGCAGTTTGATAATGTGTCTTTTAGCTCTTGATAATGTATAGATTTCACCTGCTTCATTCGGCAGCACAGTCAGCACAAACATCCTTGCTTCTGTTAATATGTCCACTTCTCTTGTTCACCTTTCTATCAATCTCTCTTTCAGCCCATCTCGAGTGCCCGTATGTGGCTTGACTGCCTTTAACCTCATTCAATATTTCTCTCTTCGCTGCCCTTGCCGTTACGCCTCCTCTCGGTAGATATTGAAACGTGATCAATATTTCTGTCATAACTCAGGGGAGAGTGACCTCTGTGATGACATTACAATTCCATGCTCCATACAGTGTAGTTGCCACCCAAATTTCCTGGCTTAGAAAGGATATGACGATTACCTAGAATACTTAAAGAGCCACAGGACCTTCCGCTGGGCAAGGATGTCCCCTAACTCCAGCACATTTCTGTGCTTGCCTCCTTGTAGAAAGTAGCTCTTGGAAAAAGACAAAGGAGGAAGGACTAGATATTACAGTTTACATCTCAGAGCTGCTTATTCAAGTCTGCTGCAAGTGTTCTACTGTACATAACGGAGCAATACTGAAGTCCACTGAGACTGTGTTAGCACCAGAATTCTGCTGCTAAGAGAGAAGAAAAACTTATTGTGTGTATGTTGTGTGAGACCCAGGATTGCACTTTTGCCACCTCCTGTTGTAAGCAAGTCTCTATAAGACAGTTAGCTATTTGTAATGCTCTTTTCGTTCCTTTTCTTCACCTCTCTCCCCCCTCCCTCACCCATCCACTCTCTCCCCTGCAGCCATTCCTCTATTCCATGCTCATTACCTTATGCCCATTAATCCCATTAAGTAGCCATTAAACAAGTGCTGATAACGTTAAATGAACGTCAAGCTCTGACAGCTAATAACTACAGTCCGACCTCGGCACATTCAGCCCTGGCAAGGAGAAAAGGAGGTACAGAGAAAAACAGGGAACATGTAGTACCATCCAAGTGTAGTATAGACTAGTGTAGCATTCTTTAATAAGAAGTACTGCAGCTGTGGAAAGAGGAGAGGAGGAACAAGCCAAACGTAAATATAGCACAGTACGTTGTATATTTATTCACGTCCACTTATTCAGATGAAAAAAAGAGGGGGTCACTCAGCTCAGAAGCAAACGTGATTGTGGAATTCCAATACAGTGTTTTTTTATGCTGATCATCACTGGGATTTAAGAACAGAGAGGAGGGTTTTTTGTAGGGATGTCAACGTTAACGCCGAAGCACAACAACTTTGAAGTACCATCTTCGGGCCCAACATATTTTGGTAGATGTTAATAAAGATGCCAGGGCTGATACAGCATCAATAAGCCGTGCTCTTTCATCTGAAAATGTTAATAAGCTAGTCTGTCTGAGCAACTCGCTGAAAGAAGAGTATATTGTATGATTGGGTAGCGGGAGGAATGTTGCCTAGATGAACAATGTAGAGACTGTTCATTCTGTCTCTGTACGGACATTTAATTTCTAAAATAGACCTATAATAGAAATGCTGATTGTTGAGATAACTGGAGGATCTGTTTCCTTAAACTAGTTTTGTTATACATTTCTTTACTTCAGATCAAGAATGTACAGAGTGTTCATTTTGTGTTTTTGCAGACATTTCATTTCTAAAATGGTATTATAATAGATGTTAATTGTTGGGATAATAAAACTGGAGGATATGTTACCATAAACTAGTTTGACATGCATTTCTTTATTGCAACACATTTACAGGTAAATCATAGCATTTTAAATTTGTGATTAATCGTGATTAATCACAGTCCATCACTGTGATTAACTTGATTAAATTCTTTAATCGATTGACAGCCCTAGTTTTTTGCCAAATTAACAAAGGGAGCAGTGTGAAATAAAATGCTTGCATCCAAAGAAGCAAACCCAAAATGTTCAAGCGAGCTAAGATAAAATCCTTGTGAAGGAGACTGATTCACAGGGTTTGAGGTTGCAGACGCGTTCATGGTCTTTTCACCGATTCCCATCTTGCAGGGAGAAATGGAGGTAGAAGGTGGAACAGGTGAAAAAGAGGCTCAGACAAATAGCTGGCTCACTAGCAGCCTGTAATGGTCGAACTTAAAATCAGAAGCTCGCCGGTGGCTATTATCCTCACTACTGCTCGGCTTGAGTGATGAGGAAAGCCAAGGTTATGGCGTTGAAGGAGAGGGGAGTAGCAACTGTAGATTGTGCCATTCATCAAGTGTGCATACTGTCACGCTCCTGCCCCTCTTGCTTCCTGTCATGCTTTTATTTTCACATTACTTCCTGTTTTGTTTCGCCTCAGTTTTGGTTCTTTTATTTAATCATCATTAGTTCACCTGCTCCTTATTGTTTGCACCTGTTTTTTACTTCTATTTAGGCAGCGTCCTCCCACCACGACAGCCGTTGCCTGTTCACGTGGTCATCTGGGCCTCGAAGAGGAAGAAGGGAAGAGGAATATGTGAGACATGGGAAAAGGAGAGAGAATGAAAGAAAATATAAATGGCAAATTTTAAAAAGAAGCAGGAAGGAATCAAGAAACCTGTCTAAACATAAATGAGTCAATGCCTGAAGGATGGTAGAAAGCAATGAAGGAAGGAAAGAAAAATGAGGAGAGAAAATACCAATAAATGAATGAAAAACAGGAAGAGAATAAAAGAACAGATGAACTCATAGATTATAAATGACTTGTCCCAAATGTGTCAGGAATATTCGCTCTCCTCTCTCCAATGGAGGAACCTGCTACATATATAGAAGTGGGCCCCGAGTCATGATCGGTGTAATTTCCTCTCATTCCATCACATTCGTAGCTTTGGGCAAATCTAATCTCATCTCTCCCTCATTGCTGCACAGAGAAATTAGCAGTGCTGGTGCTAATTTGCTGAGATGTGTGTGTGTGCAAAACCTGTGTAAGCAGAAGAGAAGAGCAGTCAGCTTGGATTCAAAAAGTAGCTGCACTGTATCATTCTGCATTCCAACAGGATTTCTAGTTTTGCAGAACTTGATCCCCCACTGTAGCTTTCCATGATGTGTATTTATTCATACTGGTGGTAGTAAATGGCAAAAGTTCGTCATCACAATTAGAAACTATCCTGTAAAAATGACTATGATTGTTTCTCAAATCTATAATATGACTTTTCCCACATCCTCTGTCGGCTCAGGAATTGCTCCATTTGACTGTGGACTGAGAACGTTCCAAGTCTCTCATAACATCTCAGAGGAGCGAGTGCCAAGAAAGATGCTAGAGGAGTCATGACCAAGGATACATGAGACCATCCTTCACTGGCGTCTTTCAAGAGCTTTTTAACAGAAATGAGTCATGTTGCTAATGGCGTGTTTCCTTGATTAGTCCTCACATCTTACATGGGCGGGACTAAGATGCAAGGAAAAGACGTAAGTGGAAGAAATGAAAACCCATATAAGAGACCTGAGAAGCAGTCTTTATGTCGTGGTTGCCTAGAGGTTATTACAACCAACAGTTAGCAACCGTATAGGGCTGCACAATTATGGCAAAAACCGTGATCATGAATATTTTTGGTCAATACTGAGATCATGATAATTTAACACGATTACTAATTGACTTTGGAAACATCAAGTATTTATTGAACTTTTAAAAAACTACCTAATTGTGATTGACAGTTTATTTTAATATTGCCTGTCATAACCTAATGAATCTACTGGGGTCACCATGACACAGCCACATCTCTCAGCCTTTCATTTTAGCTTGTTCATAACAGTTTGTAATTAGCTTAACAAGCATGCTATGGTTAAACCGACTGCGGGCATAACGTCAGTGATCCCTTCAGTGCATGTTTATGTTAATTTAGTGGGTGTTTTGACAGATTGCTCTTACTGATTGTTTTAACTTGTGGAGGTATTGTTGCACACACAATAAGGAGCTTAAAGGTTGTTAACTCAGCAAAGTTTAGCTTCTTCCAACGCACAAATCGAGCTCATGGCAAAATAATTGCTTATCTCAGTTATTTAGTTTTCATAATTGCTGGAGGCCAAAATTGTAATTGAAAATATAATTTGATTAATCACCCAGCCCTGTGACTTTAGCATATAAGACGCCAGCTAAGGAATAAGTTAGGTGATGTGGTATACACAGGCTGAAAGTCAGTGACTTTCTCCAACGCACGTTTTCTACAAATCCAGTCTATAAAAGGTGTTTTCACCTAATGAAGTAGTTTTTATTCCTAAACAAACTAAATGGTTTTTGTGACAAAATATAATGAGACCATGACAGTTAAATAATAATGGCATGTTTATAACAGTTTTCCAGACGACAGAGTCCCGGCGCCATCGTGTTCATGGCTGGCACTATACTATGATGATGAAAGTTAGTAAAGCTTGGTGATGTGACGTATGTGACTTGCAAAAATACAAACCAGCTAGTGAGTGAACTGGTGAGCTTTATCTTTGGTGGCATTCTTCCTATTATTATTTTACCAAACAAGGTTCTCCAAAAAGGGCCCCAGGGCACCCAGGGGTCATTCCAAGGTTTCTGCGTGGGTCTAACACACGGTGTTTTGTAATTTTAAGGATCATTCTGTGCAAAGTAACATCAAATTATACCTTATAACATAGTAATAATTATTGGTTGACAAAGAAACATTTGGGAACTGTTGCACTAGTGCAATCCTTCATTTTGCCTCCTCCTGACTGACTCCCTCTCAGACTGTGCAAGTACACTTTGTGTGCCAGAGTTTATTAAAGAGGAGAGCTGTCGAGCTGTTTATTTCATGAATGTGATTAATGCGGTGGTGTGGTTAGCTGGTGGGGAGGGCGCACACAAAAAAAGAAAAACTGCATGAATGAGCAAGCTGCAGGGCTCATGTTGTGCCACTCTGTCGTTCTGACAGCCACGACAGAATTTGGAAATTCACACTGAGCCCTCTCTGCTAACAATGGCTCCTGATGCAATTAGCTTAGCAGATTACATAAAGGATGTGCTCATCCTCCTGAATACGTAACCTCATCGCAGATCAGCCTTCAGAACACATTTAGCAAATAAATGAACTATCACAGGCCTACATATTCAGGAGCATGTACAGTATATATTTTTAATTTTGAAAGCTCACTGACACCAGCTGAAGCACTGTTATTATTCTCTGCAAGTCTAACACACTGCCAGAGAGCACTTTCATCTGCATTTAACTTTTTTATTACATCACATCAGATGAACATAAAAACATAAATGCAATAAATTCACATAACTGTCACATCAGCCTGTTTAAATCCTAATTTGTAAAGGTCAATACAGCACTAGTTTCACTCAGACTCAGTAAATCACACTGGATTGTTGCCAACCAGACCTGATGGGAAATAAAAAAAAAAAAAAAGAAAGACAAGAAAGAAATGGTCTCCAAAACTGACTCACAACTCACCAAATACCCCAAACAAATTCTTGGCAGGTCAGGAAGGAAGAGTGGCTTCAGCTGTTTTCAGCCACCGCAGGTTTAATAATACAAACTCAGTCACGGTGAAACCCCTCCACCCCTCCGTGAGCTGAGATATCCCACTTACACCATATAGTAGGTTATACCATTATGGGATCAGCGAAAAAAGCTCCATGGCAGCATTCATAAACATAAGCTGTGCTTCACCGTGGCACAGTCTGTTGACCTGTGTGTTCAGTGTACAAAATATTAGAGCACCTTTTAATTTCATTTTATATCTGCTTTGAAGATGAAGAGCAGGGGCCGCACATGGTGCAGACAGTACCTCAGATACAGCACCTCGTCCATTCAGGCTGTATCACTTGTAGTGGTGGAGGCTGGCAGGTCTACTGCCAGACCTCTGTGACTCCTCACTGCTGGTCATCTGGACTTGCCAAAATCAGACCAGCAGTGTACGAAGGTAATACACTGGAATACCAGAACAGGTGCATCAAGTCTCATCAAAACTAATTAGTCCAACCCAATTCTACACTCTGAAACTGTGTACATACAGTACATACCACACCTCTAATGTGAGTAGACACACATTTTTTATTAGTGTCTATTTACAATTCTACTGTACCTAAAAACTACAGAGCTTCATCTGACGGCTCAGACTTGTACTCTATTACTTTAATATTAAATAAAACAGTACTCTATTACTTTAATATTAAATAAAACATAGAGGAAAAGTACACCTTTTCACACTTACTGAATAATCATAACCAGAGCACGTCAAAATAACTACAAGAGAATAATACATTTTTTTATATTTAGTCTTCAGATCCAGAGGTATCACAGTAGAAGTCAAGGGTCCCACTGCCCTCACTGGATACCAGTTATCATAAATATGATGTATACATGGGAAGGTGGAATATCACAAGGGCAATAATATTTTGTACACTAAGGATACGCTGATGGCCCAGTGAACTAATGTGTTTGACATGCAACAAAGCTCAAATGCTCAGATGTAACATTTCGCCCTGTGGATCAGTTTTGGCAGGTGAAACTTGGGCCAATCCCAGTTTTGTTTCTGAGATTGTGCACTGATTTCAAACAGGTCCAATTACTTTAGAAACTGTGTAATTTTTTATTGAACTGTTGTATTATTCATACATTTAAATGAGTATGAGGGCTGCCCCAGTTCTCCAGTGTCGTCCAAATTTATTACTGTCCAGTATTCCTAATGTCAGAAAACTTTAACTTAGAAACCTTTGACATGTGTCTTTATGGGGCTTCCATTCACAGAGAAATCATTAAATATTACAGGACCATCATCACCAACATCATCGTCACATTCAGCAGCACGCTCACGGGAAAGAGGCACATTACCTTGACCACCAAAACAAGCACTCAGGATACTGTGTGGATACCAAGGAATGTAGCCAACGAGCATTATGATAACTGAAGATCCTAAAACATTTTATTTATAGTCTAACTGGGGCTAAAAGTGCAGGGATGGGGTTAGGTGAAGAAAGAGGAAATGGGGTTTAGGGGTCCAAAAAGCCTAATTCTTTCTTTAGCACTTTGAGCATTGGGCAAAATTACCTTTGTTCCAAACTGCAAGGGGCAAATAAAAGAGACTGACAGATTGAGAACAACCAAAACCACTGAGATGATTAAACATACAGCAACAGAATTATCTAACACGTTTTCTTAATCTTTTTAATTTTTTTTTTTTTTTGGCTAAACCCTTCGAAAAGCCACTTAGAGAAAGTAATGAAACATTACCAAGGATTTTTGCAATAACATTTGTCTACATTCCTCTCTTATCCACATGAGTTTTGGCGACAACTCCTACCTTTAAAGTTTGGTCGGATTCTGGCATCGTAACCCGAAACTTTGCCCATGAGTTTGTCCAGGAACTCGGAGGGCGGCATCGGGGAGGCAGCTTTCCTTGCCGCAGCTTCTTTGGATGCTGCCAAGCTGGAAGAGATAATTGTAAATTTGGTTAGAGAAACCAAACTATAATATCTTAATATCACCTACAGATGGGTGATAAAATAATAAATGAGTGTTCTCTTCCATCCATTCTTGGTTCATATTGCTTTGCTCCTGCTTGGCTCCTTGGCAAAAGGGAGGATGTGTCCACATCAGGGCTTCATATAAGATTAATTTATCCTCATTGACCAGTAATTTCATTTATTTTATCTAACTTGATTAAAAACTGAATGATTAAAAGTGAACTTTTACAGCCCATGCAGACCGGAGTTGAATGCATTAGTGGTTATTACACATACTTCTTGGTCTAAGCTACTGTAGTTATTCAAAGTAATGCTCTGATTCACATAACCAGCTCCGTGTCTCGCTGAGAGACCTATTGATTTTACAATAGGACTGTGGAATCTGCACAGTTGACTTTATTACCTTATCACACCCATCATGCTCGTTAGATGCTGTCTGCATGATGTCAGAGCCCCAGTATAAGAGCACAGACACACAATGATCCCAGTGCTAACGGTCAGTAACACTGCACACACACACACACACACACACCTGCACAGAGTTGATGGATTGAGTCAAAGTACACAGAGAGCTAAACATGAAGTCTGTTGATGAATTTTAAAAAAATGACCCATACATATATTAATGACTAAGTGGCTCCTTGTTTGGTCTGAGATACCACTGTAGTAAAATACAGTAAATGTTAATTCAGCCCGATATGCAACTGGGTTCCTGGAAATTAAATGATGACTGTTTTCATTGTACATGTCGACATGTAAAACGCTGGACTACTTACTTATCGTCATACACACACTTGGATGTTTGTACCATATTTGTGAGGATCTTCATTGACAATACATTTTCTAACTCTAACTTAAACCTAATTCTAACCTTAAAACAAAAGTATTATCCCAGAAGTCTTAAAAAAAATAAGAACCAGGAGAAAAAAATCATCTTTACTTTCCAAAACTAATCTGACTTTTCATAAATATCTGAGCTTGAATGTGAACTGCTTTCTGCTCTAAAATGAAACATCCTTGCTCTCAAAAAAAAAAAGCCCATATTTTAATTTTCCAAAATGTCCTCACTTTCCATAAGTTCACCGAGAGCCACTACACCAGAGTCAGATTCCTTTTGAGTTCAACATACTTGGCCAGTAAAGCTGATTCTGATTCTGACTTTCCAAAAAGAGCTCACTTTTGTAAAATCATCCTGATTTTCCAAAATATCCTTACTCTTCAGAATTTCCCAACTTTCCAAAAGACTTAAATGTCTTCATTTTCCAAAAACGTCCTGATTTTCTAAAACCATCGTCTTTTCACAATGTCCTCACTCTCAAGGTCTAAAACACACACTGCCGATCTTTCTATGATGCTCATTTCTCCCCGATTCCTCCCATCTGACTTTTATTTTTACAATGTAAAATGTCCTTTTTTTATTGTTAGATTACCTGTATTTCTTTAAGTGATCACTGTAGCCTCGTAGTTTTGCTCCAACAAAGTTGAATCTAGAAAGATCAGTCATTCTCAAACTCTGGGCCCCGCTTTGGGAACCACTATTATTACTATAATTATTAGCTGATTATCAGTTCTTAATGTTGCTTTTAGCTCTTGTTACTTATTCTTGTGTCTGCATATAGATTATAAAGAGACAAGCTTCAGGATTCGAGATGAAATGCTTTGCTGCTGCAGTTAGATTGAGAGGTGAACGGTCAGTGGCCTTTCAGTGGGACTGCATTAGCAGCCACTTGTAGTGCAGCTTATATTTGATTGCATCATTTCTCGCTGTGCCTGGAGAAAAAGCATGGGCAGCAGTGTGATTTGGGCTATAAATAAGCTGCAGTGCTGACCCATTTCATCTGACTACAGCTTCACTTTGAGCTTTGTTAACCAAAAAGACACTGGGAGAACTCGATAGCCTCTTTTTAGTGCTAATTTGTGCAGTAATCAAAAACTCAAATGAGACCTGTTGTTGACGTTACTGAAAAAAGAAACATTTTTGAGTAGCACCTTGTTTTCATCAAATGCAATCCAGACTTTGCTACACTTCTTCTGACTGATGAATCTCTGCTGGGCCAGATTCACTGTCATTTTTTGTGAACATGTAAAATTTTCCAAATTTCTAAAAATGCTAGGCTGAATTTTGGAAAGGTATCAAATATTCTGGATGTCTTGTCCTTCATTTTACAGATTTATGACATGAGGTAGCTGTTAAAAAATCAAAAGTTTGAACATTTACAAATGATTATTTTTCTGACCTGCATGTTTTATGTTGGTTCTGCCTGAGTCCAGCTTGTGTTGATGAGGAATAATTCATTTTGGTGCTGGAACAATTTCACTTTGCAGCACTCAGAGGCCCAGTGAAGAAGCCATCAGGACTTCCTGTCAGCTCATGGTGTCAGTGATTGAAAACAGACAAAATGATTTCCAGAGAAAGTTGAGTCCAGGCTACGCAGCAGAAGAACAAGAACTGAGACTGACTTGTCTTTTTTCTTTGCTCATGTTTTTAATTAAAGTTCATCTTCCAAGAGTGTAGAAGTGGCAGAAAGTGTGAATGACGACTATTCCTCCATTAGTTACAACCCCTGATGAGTGTGGGGGAGGAGAGCACAGCCACTGCATTAATCTCTCATTAATTAAAATGACAAATGATAGTTGATTGTGCTTAAAATTTCACCTTCAAAATGTGAAATCACTAGCTGTGACTTACAATGTGGCAAATTGTGTTGCGTGACCTGATAGAGAGCACCATTAGCAATTCATAAACACATAATGTAGTCAGTGTTGTCGCTTTCTCAGGAAACTGCTGATCAGAATTATAACCCAGCAGGTGAAAATGAGAATTATGGAGCAGCCGTGCTTGGAAAGTAAAACAAACAAGCGACAAATCCTTTGTTAATTCTTGTCTCATCATATATTCAAGAACACACACAGGGATAACACCGAAGTAAACACATACATACAGTACATGGTCCAAACCTGCCACACAAACACGGTAATACAAACAATTTAACACACAAATTCATGCATAAGCTCAAGGAGTCACATGCACATACTACACAAACACACATTGACCTTCCAATCAACTTGTCCTCATCAGTGCTAAACACTGGAAAACAAACTATTTAGGGCAGCGAGGAGGCGCTGGAGGGAAGGCGGAGAGCAACGCGCGCGCATGTGTGTGTGTCTTTAGAAGAGGTGGAAGAGGAGAGAAAGGAGATGGAGGGAAGGGGACAAGAAGGCAAAGGAGAGCAGTAAATGAAGTCTGGCTGCTGCCTGAGTCCAGGGTGCCACCAGCCAGGCTGCCCGCAGTCACATGACCTTCCCAAAAGACACACGTACAGCATAGGTAAGTACACACTTGCACACACCCAGAGGCAGCCATGCATCATTTGCCTGTGACAACGCCAACGCTGATCATCATCACACTGATAAATAACATTAATGATCACGGCTGAAAGTATTGATGAGCATTCTGAAGGCAGATTACATAAACAACTTAATCTAATGCTAAATGGACTGCACTCATACAGTGCTTCTCTACCAAACCAAGACAAAGCACTTTACAAATTCACTCATCCACACACACTCAGACACCGGGAATCGACCCGCCAGTCCTGTGATCAAGGGTTGAGCTGCTCAACCCTGTGCCACAAGCTGCCCCTAACGTCAGTTATGATAATGAATTTAGTCAACAGATAAATAATAATGTTATTTATGTTGTTTATTTACCAGAATAATATTTACGATACTGGTACCAGGGCTCATGACTGATTAATATGATGCTAAAAAAAGAAATGACAACCTAAATGCCCTGACAACATTTTGTCAAAAAACCCCTATTTGTTGGCCACCATTAAATTCAGTCACCTAATCTGATTATAGAACAGATACAGTACGTGTAAAGGTGTGAAAAAGGTCACTTACAGGGAGTTATCACTCATTAGCCTCTTTTAGTTCAAAACGTGGAAACCTAGCAGCTAAAGAGTCAGATATGTTTTCTCACAAACAGGTGGAGACCAAAGCAGAGCTACAGAGAGAGTGAACACTGAATTTACATTCATCAGGTGAACATTAACACAGTACTAAGCTTGTTCATTGCTTGCCAAGCAAAACCAGGAAAGGCTGTCTGACTATAGGTTTTATGCAAATGGACAGGTGGTTAAAGTGATAACAGCTGATTTTATTTTTTCAAAATTACTTTTTATGTAAGTTTTGACAATTATTTGAGGGGTCCTTAAAATGACAGATGTGATTAAATGGAGAAAATAAACAGTAAAATAATGATATATACCTTATATTTGGCTTTAACATAACTTCTAGGCTCTGCTCCCTCTGTCTGTCTCTGCTAAGTGATGAAGTGATGCTGGTTATGTTGTTGTGATCATAAATCACGACAGTTAATTATATTAGGACCATAATGACTGATGATGTTAATATCAGACTGAAAAACACTACCTTTTAAACACTGTCATGGCTTTTGATGAATGTCACAGTGATAGTTACATGTAATGTTTCTGTATATTTGTTCAACTGACTGACTCAGTAGCTCTGATGTACTGTCATTAATGTATAGCATTAGATCAATGTGCAGTGGAGGTGATGCTGCTTTGAAACCTGAAATGTCACTTCTAAAATCTGAATAACAAAGTAATTTAAAATCTAGCAAAATGCTGATTCATTTCATGTAACACCAGGTAATTCTCCATTTTCCAGCCTCCTCTGACAGAGGAGTCGACGCTCGGCACACAGTAAGTCACAGAGAGGGGGCAGACACAGTTTGTGGCGCTAAATGACAAACAGTCTTGTGGTGCACTAGGGATTTTGACTCAGCCTGGTGCCTCATGATTCAGTCAGAGTACACTGAAATACATTTTACATTTAGAACCAATGAACAGGCTGATGTAGAGGCATGCCTCAGGCCAGTCTGGACCAACACACAGTACACCAAGGTTTTGTAACATTAGTGGCCTTTCAAAGTGT